CAGCTTGGGAGGATCTGGTAGGGTTAAGATTGAAGATGCCATGGAAAGAAGAATTTTTTGTCTTGGATGAGAGCATTCTTCAGATTCCACATGATGGCTTGGCTGCTTTGCATGCCCTGGTCTATTTGACTGCTCTGGAGCTGGGGGACTTGGGCACTTGTAGGATTGATGATGATGCCTTGCTGAATTTGGCCCTCAGCTTGCCGTATCTTCAACATCTCTTCTTGGGCACAAGGCAATTTTGGGAAGAAGCTCCAAGGGCCACTCTATGGGGGATCTCGCACATCCTGTCCCACTGTCATAGTTTGCAGAAGCTGGGTCTGCTGTTCTACTGTGGCTTGGGACAACATATTCTTGAATCTGCTGCTAGAAACAACCTCGTCACAACACTACATGTTGGATTCTCTCCGCCGCACAGTTCTGTTATTGTGGCAGCATTTTTTGCTCATTCTCTGCCTAACCTGAACTCCATCATGGTGGAGCCTAGAGAATCTCATAGAAAACATGCTCACAGCCGTACAGATCTGACTCTTCCTGATCGTGATGCCAGGATTCAGGAATGGGACAGGATTTTAGAGTTGACTAGAGAATTTGTGGAACTTTGACATAGTACATCAGCTATCTTGATTTCGACCATTATTACAGAACATGCTTTGACACGCTAATGGAGGCAGTGGCAGAAAACAATTTAGAAATATGTCAAGTTGACATCTAGTAGATTGCTATCTCTTCCACCACAGTCACAGCCCTGCAGAAGTTGGCACTTTTACAAAATGTTTTTATTGAGGTAGAATGACATCAAATGAAGCAGAATCAAATGAGACGGTTGAAAGTGCAAAAGTCATGCAGATATATTGCCTGCTGCTATACATGATCCAGCAGTGTTAGATGAGAAAAGCTGCAAGGTCGATCAGACCCCAGCTGTCAGGGAATTGCAAATTGGCTGCATTCTCCAGCACCAATGATGGTTGCCCCTATACTCTGATGCTAACTGACCTTGCGCTCCCTCCAAGCTGACTTTGAAGCTGTGGTGTGTGACATGTTGTGACTTTAGGTGACATTTGCATAACTGCTGATTTCTGTGGACGCCAGATTGCAGTGGAAGGAACAGTAACAGACATTTGTCTTACAGGAAGTCATCCACTATCACCATCAGGTAAAGTTTGGTCATCCTGAATCTGACTGTTTTCTGGCTGACATTACATTCCTATCGCATACCTCCCATAGCTCCATGGCCTTCTCACATCACTTTGATCTTCAACACTTTGACCAGTGGTGGAATGAGTCTAACCCTGCTCACACAAACTTTTCCCACATTCCAACATATCGTCTAGGAAAATTCATATCAGATACCAGGACTTATGAGCTTTTCCATGATCATGAACTGCTGGCCATGATTCCTGCTCACTACAGGAATGGCCTGAGATTTCTCAATCATGACATTATCTGTTTTCAAAAACTGCTGCAACATCCTAGACCTTCATACCGTCCTGATCTCTTGCAGCTCAAGTATGAGATCTTTGGAAGGGAACTCTTGGTACTGAGCAAAATAAGGGAGTGGTTTATTCAGGAGGTCCGTAGTGGATGTCTGGCTGACCAGCCTGAGACATGGATGTCTCCCATCATGAACTCTTTCTTGGCTTATATGTATTATTGTGGATCTGTGAATCCTTGTCATAAATCCCTCATGATGAATAGTGTTCTAGATGATCCTCAAACATACGGTGAGTCGGAAATCTAATATACATCTGCTCAAGGATCAAAGTTCTGACCCATGACAGATTGGTATAGTTGGGCAGAAAAGCAAGTGGTTCCAGGTTTATGGGGAAGACTGCCAGAGAATTCTGAAGAATACCAGGCTGCTATGTTGCAAGCCATCATAGCCAAAATTGCACTGGAGCCTCATACAGAGTCTCCTGGGCCATGCTCTGAAATGTGGTGCAAGGGCATGATCGACATGATGATTCAAACCAGACTAGAAATTGAGAGTGAGGTTGCTGTGGTGAGTATATTCTGTTCCGTTCATTTTCACCAAAATCATGGCTGATACTCTCTTATTATCAGGACAAGTCTGAACAAGAGATGCCAGGGTATGCTGTTATATATGCTCTGTTTTGATGAATGAAGAATGCTGACATTGTGGTTCAGGAATTATATGTCTAATGAAGCAGTGAGAAAGGCAAGGGGTCGGCCCAAAGGAGTGTGCAACAGCATAATTGTGGTGCCTCAGATGCAGTCCAAATCCCCCATGAAACTTCGCAGCATGAATAAATCTGGATGTTTATCTGGATTATCAGCCCTATCCATCAGCGGGGATCTTGTTCCAGAAATACCCATGACTAAAGATGCTAAAGGTTAGCGTGCTTCCTCTGATTTTGCCATCCCAATCATTGAGAAATCTTAATCAGAAATGGAAGAGCTTGACCAGGTCCTGAGATTAAAGACTTCCCCTCCAGACTCTCTCCTGGCCGTAGCAACACCTACCAGAAAATCTGGTGCTTTGGCAGATAGGTAAGCGGTCCAAATTGATTTTTATCATATGCCTTGTTTCTAAACATAGCAGGAATACCCTCTTAGATCTGGCATCGTTGAACCAGGTGCTTACTCTTTTGCATCTAAACTGGTTAATCATGCGGCTGATGGCTGACATAACAACGACAGGCAACTGCGAGCTTGGCACTGGAGTCTCCAAAGAAGCATCCAAGAATATCAGCAGAGAATGATGTTCCTGCTCTAGATTTGTCTATCTTTTTCTTGAAAAAGTTGCATACAAGTTCTGCAAAATCTATGTCACTGACGCCAGCAAGTTTCTTGCTCTATGATCAAGAAGCCATACTGAAACTTTCCATTAGGCACAGCCTGCCAGAAGGCTTCATGTTTTCGAGAACAAGAAACCATCCGAACCAGGCCAGACATCATCAGACTTTGCAGCAGCTGCTGTTGCACCTTCATATGTCATGGAACTAAGATCTGATTACGGTACACCAAGTTCGAACTCCCCATTGTGTTCAGAAGATTTGCCGTATGATATGGATGTGGACCAGGCTGTAGATGTCGATAGTTCACTTGGACATGCATCTCTGGCCACCCCTGATTCATATCCAGAAGATTTGCCGTATGATATGGATGTGGACCAGGCTGTAGATGCCAATAGTTCACTTGGATATGCATCTCTGGCCACTCCTGATTCATGCCTAGACTTACCAGGGAACGATACATCTTCGCCAGTGGCTTCCAACCACCTAGAAGAATCTGTTGCATCTATATTCACTCCTCCAGGCACACTGCTTCTATCAAAGGATGATCTGCAGATGTTTGCTATCTCTTCTCCTTCCTGTTCCAGGATGGAGCTTGAACGGTCTTTACCTATTCCATCACCCTCTATGTCCAGTTCTGATGAATCTGCTCAAACACCTCCGATCACTAGCAAAACATCCAAAGGCACTTTGGTTTTTACCAAGAGTCACGATACCAAGTTTTCCTATGATTCAGTCACATTCATACCCACTGCACCCAGATCCAGAGTCAAATCCAAATCCAAATCCAAATCCAAATCCAAATCCAAATCCAAATCCAGTTCAAAGGTACCTGTGAGTATTGTTTCTCATTGCCATGTCTGGTTTAGTACAGATAGCAATTGATGTATTCTAACCCACCTTCTCAGATACATGCCCCACCTGGCCAGAACAACGAGAGTCAAATGTTGAACAAGGGCAAGGAAAAAGCAAAGGCGACATGTTCAAAAGAGTCTCAAAAATCTAGTCTGCAGGAGAGAGCAAATAGCAAGGACGAGAGAAATATGGAGATCTCAGATGAATCTCCAATGCCTCATCCTGGTCCTAGTACCAGGTCCAGGATCACTGAGACGCTGCCTGCAAACATGTCAAAAGTGGCTAAATCTTGTCAGATTGCTCAGGAATCTGAGAATCGGACATGGAGTGACAGGGTGGGTTCTCATTTTCTCATTTCATCGAGTTCTGATTGTAATGATGTTTTGCCATTACAGTTTCTTACATTCTTTGGGTACCTTGGGCGTGATTGGGCCCAATCGCCTGCACTTCAAAATGATATAAAATTGCAGGTTGGCAAGGCCATGATCTCTAGAGATGTTGAGGTATGTCTCGTCTATGGTGTAGCTGTTGCTGTAGATCTGATTGTGTTGAATGATCGGCAGAAGCAGATCAAGAATGACATGCATGTAATAGTCAAGTATGTCTATTGGATGAAAAAACGGAGGGGAGCGGTCAAACTTCAAGAACAGCCTGAAGTTGGTTTCAAAGTTCTATTTGAACTTTTACAAATGAGGTCTTAGTCTATGGTCTGGTATATGTTGGATTGTTGAGTCCTCTGTACTTTACTGTTTACAGCCAATATCTTGGGCAGGTAGGACATTGGTAATAGATAGTTTGGGCCAACCGTTGTGTGGGTACGATCCATCTGGTGTCAATCTGATCCATATGCATGGTCCAGTCTACAGGCAGACGATGACCTTGGCCTACCAACTGACTGTGCCACTCACGTGCCTGATGCATCGCCCATCCATTCCCAGATACTCCAGCTGTAATTCCACGTTCAATAGGACAGCAAATGAGTGTTTTGAAAAGTTCATCCACCAAGTGGGCGGCATGAACTTTAGTTTCTGGAAGATGAGATTCGATAGAGTCTGTTGGCGACAGAACTTTGAGACATCCTGTATGATACCAGCGGTTGCAATTCAGACAAAATCTTTGGATCTCCTTGTCGGGACTGAAAGGCTTGTTGCATGCAGAGACACAAGAGAGGTGGATTAAATCATCCTATGATCAGATGTCGGTCAATCATGTTCCCGAACTCTTGGAGCTCATGACAGACCTGAAGTATGGGCGGTGAAGAGCTTGCAAACCAGCGTGTGTAAAATTCATTTGAACACCAAGGTTTTTGTACTCCAGACATGTCATCGAACTTGACTACCTGAATGGTGCCTTGAAGTTCAATAACAAATCTTGGTTGGTCGCACAGATCTACAAAAGCTGTGGATTGTTCTCACCAGCTAATACTTTGGCTTCTGCCCAGATGGACAAATCTGACTCCAACAGTTCTTGGCGTCCCATGCACAATAATCTGGAGTCTGACTGAGAAGCCTTTTTAAAAATTGGCTCTTCAAAGTCTGCCCTCCAATACCAACGAATCTTGACCCAAAAATGCTATAAAGAAAGAGATGATTGTGAAATTATGATATGCTAGCTGTTGATGGATGCAGACCTCTGAAGCCCTTGCACGCTTGTCTACACGGATACATTCAATGATTGCATACCATAAATCATTGGGATCCACTCCCTTACGCCCTTCTTTGGATGCATACACTGAAACGCTATGTGCAACATGACTCAGATTAATTAGAACTGCATATGAATTCATGCTAAGCATGCTTCTAGAAGAAACACACCTTTGTCCGACTTCGTATTCGATTTTATTCTCCCCTTCTTCATCTGAATCAAGGTAATAAACTAGTTTATTTTCTCTGAATCAAAACAAAGTTATAAAAGTGCAGCAACTGACTCACGGATTGCACGTGTAGTTGGTAAGTCATTGAATTTCTTTAGGGACATGCCCTTGGGCAGCTCTGACATCTTCAAATTATTTTGGGTGCTAGTGCAGAAGCTTGAAGTTGTGGACAAATTGTATCAATGTTTTCGGTCTTTATCTGTTAGTCTGCACTTTAGCCAAATATTATGCAAATTTTGTCCTATAGATGTCAAGTCAGGGTGATGGCTCACGTGCCTGTTTTAGACTGTACTACGTCATATCAAAATCAATCTCTCAAAGCCCAACTTAACTGTGCACCAATTCTGTGCTTGCTTATCCTATAAAAAGTGACTAACTGCTAGGTAATCTTTAACTTTTAATACCCAGAAAAAATTGTTTATCAATCTTCAGTGTCCACTGCATATATTCCACCACGGAGTCACATATATGTCTGAATCTCAACCACATTCACCCCAGCATACCTCAGGATGGCTGGATATGCAGCTATCTTCAGATTCTGACTTGTATGGCAGTTCTGATCATACAAATCATGGAATCTACAGATCACCATCAACTTCCCCTTCACCCACATGCATAACAGAGACCTCTGAAGATGGCTTGAACTTTGGCACCTTCCAGATTGATGGATCTCCTACAGCCAACTTGGAAAACTTGCAATCTGGCAGGTCCTCCGTTCAAATATCATGGCTTCAGTTGGAGCTTCCATCAGGGGAGAGCTCAGAAATGAGATCTGATACTGGTGATGATAAAATTCTTCCTGCTCTATGGTCTTCTGAGGAATAATGATTAGATGATGTCACTGGTTCTGATACAAGAATCAGACATTCTCATCCCATCTGCGATGATTTGTCTGATATTCTGGAAGAATACATGCAAAGACATGAGGTGTCATCCGATGCTGGTACACCAGAAGGCCCACTGTCAGAGTCAGATCAAGGTCATGCTGATGATTATCACCCTGAAAGCTTGGAGGAATGTGGTCCAGCATGGACCAGATCTCATCTGGCTGATGATTCATCCGCAACTTCTGAGCCCCAAGATGATATGGAATCTCCAGGTGAATGAATGACTTGAAAAATACCAGACTCCAAGCCTATCTAACCAAAGGCTGTAGCGGATGTAGACCCCATGTTGAACTTGGCACGCCCCACCCTATGGGTTCCTGCTTTTGAGCAGCTTCACACATTGAATCCTCAGATGCCTGTCGGGGGTGCAGTCCTTAATTTCTTCCTAATGACCAAGTGGTGTCCCACACGTGGACTAGGCCCTTTGCAGTATGCCGATATAATGGCTGTGGCCCCTCCAATAGTCAACAATCTGGGTCAGATGCCAAACTTGGATGAAATCCAGACTTTTCAGCAAAGGCACTTTGTGCCTCCTTCTCAGAAACATCCTGTGGCCCAGGTTGGCTTCATCTTGGATATATCTCAGCACTACTGTGTGGCCATCTTCGATTATTGCCGTCAAAGTGCTCATATTATGGGACGCCATGTGACTTCAGAGGCCAGACCTGAAATCAGTCCACAAAGTAACTGGGAGGAATGGCATGGTCCATCGTACTGGAAACGCTTGGCCATCTTGCATGGCTGGCCTCATGGAGATCCTTCTGCTGTACACGTTCATGAAGATCCTAGATTCCGCCTACCATCAGCATCAAATTGTGACTGTGGGCCAATTGCTTGTTCCATATTGGAGCATTTTCTAGACAAAGGGTTGAGCCACCATGTAGATGGGAGTTTGCAGCGCCCAACCATACCCTGTGGACATACCACTCGTCTCAGAATTTTTGAGATGGTGAAACTCAGCTGTAGACACCAGTGGCATCACTATCTATATCTTGGTGGCCATCTTCCAGATAATTGGGACCCAACCGATCGTATCTCCAAGGCTGCATTGGAAACCAGAATGGAAGTACCTCAGCAGATGGCACACAATCACCAGGTCATAGTGACTCAGCTTGCCACTATGTTATACAACTGCCCAAACTGCCGTCCAAACCTAACCCATACCACAACCAGCATCTCATCTTCTGGTCTAGCACCAGGGAATGTAATCCAGAATGATGAAGGTCTGGATCCGGATTCTGAAGACCACAATCCAATCAGGAACTTCATCCGGAGTGACCGGATGACAGACAATCTGAAGCAGCTCTTGGATTCCCATTCATTGACCTCCAGTACTCATATCCGCGATACGGATACCAGACCATCCAGATGGCAGCCTTTTAATCCAAGCTTTGATCAATACTGGGGTGGACCTACCCTGGAGTCCATGCGGCCCATCATGGATGCTGGTGAGATCTGGTCTTCATCCCGCAATGCTTGGATTAGTGCGCTAGGGTCATCCGTGCTCTTCAGAGACTATGGTTACAGGATTCTCCCCAGCTTCTCCCAGATGTTCTGGTTGGGCCCTCCAGTGGACACCCTGAATTGCATGATGGGCATTGGAGTATCTGATACATATGATCCCAGCTGGCAGGTTTCTCGCTGGAATAATGAAGGCTACAGTCTGTCACGTTGCTCCCTATTTCCTGATGACAGAACAGTTGTTGCCCGTGATGTGCGTATCATGGGAGCATCTGAGATGCTGCTACATGCCAATCAGCTGGTTTCAGAGAATGCTGAGATATACGAGACTCTCTTTGTGTATGGGGCATATCCCATCACAAACCACCGGATCTCCCTGGACCTGGAGCTTGACATGGATATTCCTGAAGAAATCAACATATCAGTGGACATTGACAGCTACATATGGGTTACCCAAGACTTTCGTCCAGCCCTTAGCATAGGGATCTACTTGGCCCCTGTGATTGAGCAGAATGCCCCCATCCATAAACATAACCACGTATATGTTGACATTCTCATGCCCCAAAGTGCTGAGGATCAGGGCTTACATGGAGCTCAAAGGAATGAGTGGTGGACCAAGTCTGTCCCTTTGAGCTCCATACCTCATGTGTCCTTTGGAGTATTGAGCACAGCAAATCACACATCCAATCTTCTCCTCTGCTTTCCCCGCATGATTCATAATCGTACCAACTCGTCACGGCGCTCCACCCGCATTCCTCTTGACATCATTGATTTATTTTGGAATGAAGTGGTGCTACCTTCTATATCTCAGGAGGCGTCCAGTTCTTCCCTGCCTTATGTGGACACCACGGTGCATGAGATCAGATACAAATCTCGCAAAGGTGGATCCAGTCAGCCAGGTAGCCAGAGACCCAAGGCTACTCCGGTCTCCAGAGTTGCATTTGAAAGGATTCAAAAAAGGATGAGGACTCGTATCAAAGGTCAAGCAATGCTGGCGCCATATGGATCCTTCTTCTTTGTCTTGGAAGGCAAGGGCATCAAACTTTGGACCAAGGACGGCCAGGATGGCAGATACGACACGCCATATCAGGCTTTGAAGGCAAATTTCACAAACTTGGACTGGGATTACATGATGGACCGGAATCATGGAGAACTGTACTTGGACTTGGGCGTGAGCTTCAACCCCACTGGCCAATTTGTGGGTCTTTGGAGGCTTGATGCTTTAAAGGCCTCTTTCGAGAAAGGAGGTTTCAGAAAAGGCACTACTCACCATACCAGCACTTTAGGGCGTTATGGAGGCATTCAGGCAGAAATGAGACAGGCACATTCACGTTCCAGCCAGATCTGCTTCAGATCTGCTTATCAGTTGTGCTACGAGGCCATCAGGCCCAACAACAATGAGCCCAAGTTTGTTTCTGATAGGGATGCCTACAATCTTACCGAGGGCTACCTGAAAGAATGCAAATGGACCCAAGAAATCTACAGCGCAGGTCCTTCCCGCCGTGCTTATGGATGTCGTGATGAATATCGGATGAGTGGACAAGCTGCTTTGGAGGTGCTGCCCCACTTGAAAGAACGGGTAAGTCTCTGGCAATTGACTCTGGTTACCATATTGCTTATGTATGTGAATCAGGCCAAAGGTTTTATGCAGTCCCGACCTATTCTTTGGATCCCTTCCCACGTTTGGTTTGGACTCATGGATGGTAGGCTGGAGGGCTTGAGGCGTGCCCAAAAAACATTGAAATTGGAAAAACCCCTCAACTATGGCAACAAAACCAGCATCTTGTGTCATCTCCTTCGCTGCATGAGTTCCACACCTATTGTGATGGATCTTCATCTACAAGAGTCCCTTCGACGTCTGGATGTTCAAAGAATTTGTGACCGAGATGGCATGCTCTTTCTCTATGACATGGATGAAAAGATTGTCTCTGAGGACAGTGCTGATGTCCGAAAAATCATGGGTGCCAATGCCAAAAGCCATCGCAAGACATGGACCCTGCCAGATCCCACGACCAGTTCCAACGACTGGCCTATTGGTCCACAACCCAGCTGGAAGGATGTAGTGAAGATGATTGAAGATCATCCTCAACTTCTAATGAGGCATTGGGTTTATGACCCCATCTGGGATCCAGGAGATTCGGATGTCGGCCTACTTTTTATCCAATTTACACGAGAGTTTTGGTTGCAGCTAGCTGTGGCTCACACCACCAATAAATTTGCGGATGCTGCCATAATCAATCCCAGGATCTGCAATGATCTGGAAGAAGCCATGACCTGCTGGTCCTTGGATCGTATAAATCAGTGGATCATCTCCATCCAATTCCAGGCCTGTAGTGCTGGACTGGAGGGAGACAAACCTGGCCGTCCTCATCTCTCATTTGTCCAGAGACGTACCACATTCTTCCCCAGTGAAGACTCTGCACCGTTGCAGTCATCAAAGTGGAAAACTTATTGGACAGAGGGGTACATTGCACGATATCATGAGCTGTGCTCTGGACTATCTGAAGCACGATTGCTACATCTCCATGATCGCCTGGACATACTATTCGCCAACCTTCAATGTCTACCGGATGTCAACAAACCCACCGCCAAAAGTCCTGGCTCTACTTGGACACTAGCTTCTGGTCATGACAGTATCAAGATAGTGACCAACTCGTGTTTCTATCGCATACAAAGAATTGGAGCATGCAAGCGCACTGCTAAGAGGCCTGCTGTCCTCAAAAGACCCCTAGACTTTCGAGCAGCTGTCATGCAAATGCAGGGACGTGATCCCAGGAGGAATAAACCAAAAAACACAAAGAAGACTCAGATTGATCGACGTTCTACGAAGGCTAAGAATTCTAGAAAGCCACCAAACAGGCCTATCAAGGTATGATTAAATCAGGACACGTACTGAAGATGACTCATGCTCACTGCATCAGATAAGTGTTGGTCCACAAAAGACCTTGGCTTCCCCTGAGGCCTCCGGTTCTAACACAAGTATCTGGACCCAGACAAGAGATGAGTTAGATCACCAGCATAAGAATGCTGAAGTCGAAGGTGAAGTTGCAGGTGATACTGAAAAAAGTGGAGATGATGATGAGTCTGAGACAAATTCATTATTTGATTACGATGGAAGTGATGAGGAGGAGGAGGAGGAGGAGGAGGGGAATGATCCAGATATTAGCACCTTTTAAGTATTGAAGTATTGCATTTGAAATTAGATATTCAGCTTGTTCATGACTACAGTTAACTGTATCCTATCCTATCTCATCTTCCATGAAGTCACTGTACTATAAAACCCTTTGAATGCTATCACTTGAGTGTTGACTTTACATAAATGACATCATAACAGCACTTTGGTCAGGGTTTATGCATATGAGTTGTACCTCTACATACAGTCTTCATGCATTCTACCGCACCACATATTCACCACAACTTGTTGTGAATACGTGGTGCAGTAGAATGTCTGAGAGTCTCGACAAATGGCATGTTCCATCGATACCCAGATGACTGGTAGCAAAGCTGATCAACACCAGTATACAAATCCGAGTCGTTGAGTAGTTAGATTTCCGTAGATTTGAATTGATGTTGCTTCTCAGATTGTATCAATGCAAAATGACGGAAAGCCGTGTATTTAGACTGGAACGAAGCAACAAAAAAGCTACAGAAATTGGGATATCCACCCGCACGCTCGTTTGCTCCAGCTCGTCTGCCCTACCCACCTGCTGACAATACCCAGGGCCTGGCTAATGCAGTGTGCCACTGGCAAACTTCACGAGAACTTCGAGCGTTTTTGCAGTCTACATGCAGTCAGGAACCTGGATATAACACCACAAATAAGTTTACAATGGGAATAAGATTGGTACTCACCAGATTCGATGCCTTGATGTCGTAGCTCTGCAGTAGTAGGTATTACAATTAGTAGACTAGACCACGATAAGAAGAATGAAAAAACATACCGCTCAAAAAGCGGTCCTAAGAATTTTATGATGTATCAGTAAATTCAACTGTCAGAAATAAAAAATCACTGATAAGTATCATGAGAAGCAGTTAGAGCAATTACATCTTGCTTTAATTGCTTGTTCTGAGCTTGCAGTTGAAACACGGAGTCGAAAGAGTGACTATATGCGCCCTATTCGCAGTGTATATATGATGTTTGGACATGAAAATGAAGCAACAAACTCACATTATTATGCAATGGTGGTGATATACCCAGTGGTAGTAGAAATAACTGACCAAGATCTGATGTAGATGGAGTGTCTGAAATGAAAGGATCTGTAATTTCCCTGTTACTGGACAATAAGTTTGGAGAAGGGGTGCTGGTATGATTTAAGTGAGGATGCAAGAGTGCTGAATGAATATAATTTGCAAGCATGAAAGACATGATGATGGCAAAATCCAGAGAAGTGAATATCAAAGTATTGTCAATTTGTCATGCTGCCTGGTATGTCATCAAAGCCGTTACACTGTGATGTCGCCAAATCATCATCTCAATTTCAAGGATATTAGCTGGCGTCAGCAGCCACTGCACAGTGAATGAAAAAACGCACCTTTGAGAGCCTTTGGATTAATTTCGAGTTGCGTCGCTCAAGACTCATTGAACACGTTGAGCTGCGCAGCATCTGTGTTCAGAATCACAGCCTTATCAGCTCAAATCAAACACGTTGTCGAGTGTTTGTTTGCACAAGTTAGATTTCCATCAACCTAAGTCTATCGACGACTCCAAACTTACAAACCCATCGTTCTCTGTGCGAGGGCATCTGACCGATTCTTACTGGGCATCAATGATGGCTCATGTTGGCTCGGTAGACCAGACATTGGTTTCCAACCAGAATTTGCACTGCTACCTACTGTTACACTGTATGGGTAAATTCTGAGAGACATCTGCCAAGATCAATGACTTCTCCCATATCCTCAAATGAAGTGAGGTCTTTCAGCATAGCAGGCAAATCTTGTGGACAAATGTCCAGGTGTTGTAGAATCTTTGTAACAACTGCACAGGCACGGGTGTAGCTGGATGATCGTAAGGCTATGGGTTGTTTTTTCTTGTGGGATGTTGTTACTAAGCTCTGTCCCATATATTTTCTGGGCTTAAGAACCATAGAACAAAGCGCCAATAGTGGTTTGGCATGCAAGCCTTTTTAATCAAGAGATTTAATGGCAGTGAGCAAGTGTTATTGTAGATACACTTGCCTAACAGTTTGTCAGGTGGCAGCCATGGAATGAGAGCAGCCATCCGCCATAAGGTCTCATCTGTGCATTCTTGAGCTTGACTGTTGTTGCCTGGAGTGACTTCCAGAGATCTTGAGCTGTGCGTGTGATAGAGTGTTCCATATGTAAAAAAATGACCCCCATGTGCCAAAACAGGATTGGGATTGTATTCTGCATGTAGTTGGCCTGGTGGCTGGATTCTACAAAGGGGGTAAATTGTGAGGTAACCATCCTGGACACCATCCATTCATAGGCTTACAGCAAATCTCCAGGATATACAGTCACAGTCTCCGCATCATAATCATCCAGGTCATGAGGGCTGCAGAGGAATTTTGTTGCTTCAAAAGGCACTTTACCATCGTGGGGGATCTTTGGGAAAAGAAGTGTCCGGAGTTGGATGCCAATGACTGGAAAGAAATAGGCATTCTGTCCCTTAGAGTCATGGCATGGAGGAATCAGTACCCCACCCTGGGACACTGAGGCACATGGGGTACTGAGATGTATACCTGGCCATGGCCATGGCCATGGACAATCCTTGATGGTCCTGTGCCAGGCCATCTGACCCTCATCTAGGGGACTGAGTGTGGATGAGCAGCAAATGCAGAGAAGACTGAATGGAACTTACACCAGTTCAGGGGGCAGACCTACTGCTATAGGACAATCCAGAACATATCTGTGCTCATTTTGATTATTTATGCCCAAAATCAAATCTCTCATCACCCCAGGGACATGAGGTTGAGCAGGATGTTTGGCCTGAAGCTCCATGTCTGAGTATCAATGATGAGCAATGATCACATTAGAATATTGAAGGTCTAAAACATTACCATGTATATCCACAGGCATAGTGGCATGAATTCCATAACGCTTTTCCAGATATTCCATTGTAAGGTTTAGGGGCCCAGGCCTCACTGCCTCGTGCACAATAACGCACTTTCCTGCTGCAAGACTAGACCGAATTTCTATTAATAATAACTCATTTTCTGTAATGGCCCCATTTAGATGGGTCACAAATTTGGACCCTGATTTGGAGGCAGGAACTGCCGCAAGTTTCTTTGTGAGGCGAAGGTCTTCGATCAATATATTTTGTCCATCTCGCATTATAGTGGGCAATATGGTGATATGACCATCATCCCATGTCACTACCTCCGTCTCCAGGGGAACCTGTGTGCCCAGCATACCTGAGGCCAGATCGAGTCCCCTCATTCCTGGATCATTTGCTGATGCCACTGCATGCTGGGGAAAATTGTGGGTTTGTGAATGGATCCCATCTGCTGTTTTATCCTGGACTGGAGAAGGTGTCCAGGAAAATGCAGGTGAGAGTATTCCAGTTGCGGCCAAAGTATTTGCCGGCTGGGGTGGTTCTGCCAGTGCCCGGGCAGTGCTCCTGTGCTGACGTAATTTTCGTTTGCAAGCAGCTTGGGCATCTCGACGTTTCTGTTTGGCCTCGGGTGGCAGTTTGCGCTCATATCTACGGTTGTACTCTCTCTTGCGCTCTGGAGACACCGCACGCGTCATGCCAATCTTGTGAGCTGGTCGTGCTGCGTTGGGTGATGTTTGAGTAGTCTCAGGCTGGTGGCAGTTATAGCGGAGGAAATCCGGCAGTTTAGGGTTTACTTCCTGTGCGGACTTCTGCATCAGTAAAAAAACACGTTACTTAAGCTGCCTTAAACAGACTTAAAACCCACTTAAGTGACTTTGGCTAAGTCAATCTACTTGGTCAAAATTTCAACTTTAACGTGTTCACAAAAAATTGTTGAGCTAGTCTTATATACATATTTTGTTGTGGTTCGCACTAAAAAAAAATAAGATATCCCAAGTGGATGATGCAGGAGAGAGTAAACAATTCCTGGCAAAGTCAGCCAAGTTGATTAAGTAACGTGTACTTTTACTGATGTGCGGCACTTTGAAATAATGCATACCCATGGATCAATATGCTGTCATTCCAGTTGCTTTGGCAATCATAAGTGAGGGTCCATGAGTGCCACTGATATTGGTGCAAAAAGATGGGTGACTTGTCACTGTCAATGACAATGGGGATAGATTCCAGCAGCAGGGCAATCTGTCTGACCTTGATGAGTCCATCGCGCTCCTTTGGGATGCACTACTCCTTCGTCCTCTCGGTCATCCTCTTTGATCAACGTCTCTCAACAATCTTGCAGGCAGCCTTTATCACAGATTTAAGCAGCAGGGTGTCCCATCTGATCTTGATGAAGCCATTGAGCTTCATCGGACTGCACTACTCCTCATCCCCCCAGTCATTCTATTCGAGCAAGATCTCTAAGTGATCTTGCCATCAGCCTTATATGCAGATTCAAGCAGCAGAGTATCCAATCTGACCTTGATGAGGCCATCGAGCTCCTTTGAGATGTACTAGCCTTCCTTCCCCTGGTCATTTTAATCACTGCAGGCCTCTCAAAAATCTTGCTGGAAGCCTCATGAATAGATTCGAGCAGCGAGGCGTTCTGTTTGATCTCGATGAGGCCATCAAGCTTCTTCGGGATGTAATACTCCTTCGCCCTCCCGGTCATTCTGATCAATCAATGTATCTCAACGATCTTGCCAGCTGCATGCGACAGAGATTCGAGCAGCGAGGCATTACATCTGATCGTGATGAGGCCATTGAGCATCTTCGGGCTGTGTTACTCCTTCACCCCACCCATCATTCTAATCGATCCGGGTTGCTCAATGCTCTTGCCATCAGCCTTACAATTAGATTTCGACAGCGGTGCGTGCCGTCTGACCTTGATGAGGTCATTGAGCTCCAGCGGGATGCACTACCCCTCTATCCTCTTGGACATTCGGATCAAAGCAAACCTCTCAACAATCTTTCCATTATTCTTCAAGTCAGATTTGAGCAGCGGAGCATCCCGTCTGACCTCAATGAAGCCATCGGGCTCCACCGGGATGCACTACTCCTCCATCCACCCGGTCATTCTGATCGGGCAATGTCTCTCGGCAATCTTGCCGCCACCCTTCATCACAGATTCGAGCAACGGAGTGTCCCGTCTGACCTCGATGAGGTCATCAAGCTCCAATGGGTTGCATTGCTCTTTCGTCCCCCTGGTCATTCCGAAAGATCATCATCTCTCAACAATCTTGCACCCAGCTCTAAAGACAGATTCAAGCAGCGGGGTATCTCGTCTGACCTTGATGAGACCATCGAGCTCCTTCGGGCTGCATTACTTCTTCGCCCCCCCCAGTCATTCTTAGCGATCAGCGTCTCTCACTACTCTTGCCATCAGCCTTCGAGACAGATTCAAGCAACGTGGTGTCCTGTCTGACCTGGAGGAATCATTTAGGCTGTTTGAGCAACTACCCTACATATCACATCCAGCCTCTCATACAGATTTTAGATCTGCCAAGGTATGTTTTCGGTATACTATGTGCGTGCGCATCAATATTCAAACTGATCATCCTGTATTTTGTACTGATGACGAAGCAAATAACATGACAACATCGTCCAAGTCCTTGCCCAGTTGTGCTCCCCATCCCTCCATTCTCGACAGTCCTTAGGTAGCTTGATTTGGCGAAATAGCATGGCAGACAGCGTGGAAAAGTGTAGAGTGGCCTTGCTGAGTTGTCCCCCTGGTCATTATTGTCATCACATCTGTCTCGTCTGGGCCACCTTTGCCGAAGAGACGAACTACGACTCCGTATTGGTTGCCTGTCAAACTGCATTGAAATTCCTAGATCAGCATGTGACTCTGTTATCACCTTCTTTACGCCATTTCGATATCGTCAGGATGGCTACTTCCTCGGTTGCCACAGATGCTTTCTCGTGCAGTGTTTGTCGCGGCGCACTGACAGCTGCTGTCGAACTGGTGGAGCAAGGCCGTGCAGTATTTTGGACCCGGCTGACATGCTTACGCTTACCACTCAACGAACTTTCACTGTCTAGTGACACGGGCGCAGCCCTGGCGAAAGAGTTACAGCAGCTAAGTTTTCGCCTTTGCAGCGCATTCGATAAATCCACCGAAGACCAGTCCCTAGACATCCAGCAGCTGACCATGCAATGGGATGATGTCGTCTCCCGCATCCGCATGATGTCTGCCTTTTCTCGGTTTCTCCTACCCCCGCTGTTTTCTGACCTGCGGAAAGCTGCAGAGAAGGACCGGTCATCATCGTCAATGCTAGTCAGTACGGCTGTGACGCTTTGATTGTCTCAAGTTCCCAAGATTCCATCCATGTTCCAATTGATATCACGCAGACCCAAGTCTCCAAGTTGTCCTCTGAATGCTGAAGTACATCCTAACCCAGCTTGATTTTCAAGTAAGCCTTGCCAATCCATGTGTTTTCTATCGCTCCTGGTCAACTGTATCGAGGTCATCCGCGATCGCTCTGCTCGTACAATCTCCTTCTCACACCGTCGCTACATTGACTCCATGCTCAACATTTACATTTACAGTCTCGAGCATGCAAACTCTGTTCGTACTCCTGCTGTGTCCGGTGTCAATCTTAGTCTCGCAGACTGCCCAACATCTATTGAGGAAACACAATATATGCTGAAGGTGCCATATCAGAATGCCGTCAGTGCACTCAACTACTGCGCCGTCATGCGTCATGACTCGTCCGGATATCTCACTCGCAGTCCAAAATGTTGCCCAATTGTTAAATGCATTCTATGTTACCTCAAAGGCACTCGAGACTTTGTCCTCACTGTTGGCGGAAAGCTTGACTCTCCGGTCTTTTTTGCACATTGCGATTCTGACTTCGTGAGTTCACCCGACCATGGACGGTCTGTCTCAGGTTATGCAATCATGATTGGAAAAGATGTATTCCCATGGTCTACAAAGAAGCAAAGCGCTACGGCTTTGACAGTTTGCCTTAGTCCAGGAGCAGAAATGATCTTCCGGATCAACTGCGGTATGGTCATGATGCAGACTGCTGATTGTGGTATTGAAGCTATGGGGGAGTAGTACATGCTCAAACTCATGGTCGGATGTCCCGGATTGAGTTGGGACATCATCCTGAAGCAACTCTGTGCAGAACACAGAGCGGACACTAACAAAAAGATCGTGCGGTTAGAGCGGAAGACTCGACAATGTGGAAAGGGCACCTTTATCGAGAGTTAGTCGAAGGATTCGTGTTTGGGAATTTGGTCTTGGTCTTGGCTTGGATCACTTTGAACATCTCGCAATGGTGCGATTTTTTCTCTCCTTGATTCATCCATGAATTCATTGATCTGTGTTTACAGTCGCTGCGCATGTTTAGTAAGTCAAAGATTCAGTTTTTGGGAGTATGAGCTGTGGTTTGTCACCATTGATATAGACGAAAATGAGAAAATTGTAATATTGTGTGGCTTTGTTTGGCACTGCCGACATAAGCAAAGAAAAGCGAACTTGAACCAAATCTTTTCTCTGTCTGTTCTCTTCTTTTACTGTCACTTACTTGACAAAGTTCTTCCTTTCTTTGATTTGTGTCTAGAATATTATGTTTATTCTTCTTGTCCAGTATCACCATGTCTCTATGAGGCTGGTTGGACTTTCCTGTGTTGGTGTCTCTATGAGGCCTATCCAGGGGTATTGTTGGCTTGACTGTGTCTCCCTGTCCACTGAACTGCGCCTCTATGAGGCTGGTTGGACTCCTCTTAGGATGGTGCCTCTATGAGGCCTATCCAGGGGTATTGTTGGCTTGACTGTGTCTCCCTGTCCACTGAACTGCGCCTCTATGAGGCTGGTTGGACTCCTCCTGGGATGGTGCCTCTATGAGGCCTGTCCTGGGGTATTGTTGGCTTGACTGTGTCTCCCTGTCCACTGAACTGCGCCTCTATGAGGCTGGTTGGACTCCTCCTGGGATGGTGCCTCTATGAGGCCTGTCCAGGGGTATTGTTGGTTTGGCTCTGTCTCCCTGTCTACTGAACTGCGCCTCTATGAGGCTGGTTGGACTCCTCTTAGGATGGTGCCTCTATGAGGCCTGTCCTGGGGTATTGTTGGCTTGACTGTGTCTCCCTGTCCACTGAACTGCGCCTCTATGAGGCTGGTTGGACTTCCCTGTATTGGTGTCTCTATGAGGCCTGGCCTGGGACCTTGGATGTGGTCTTCTTCTTCCCTTTCTTGTCCAGTATAACTATGTCTCTATGAGGCTGGTTGGACTCCTCCTGGGATGGTGCCTCTATGAGGCCTGTCCTGGGGTATTTTTGGCTTGACTGTGTCTCCCTGTCCACTGAACTGCGCCTCTATGAGGCTGGTTGGACTCCTCCTGGGATGGTGCCTCTATGAGGCCTGTCCTGGGGTATTGTTGATCTGGCTCTGTCTCCCTGTCCACTGAACTGCGCCTCTATGAGGCTGGTTGGACTCCTCCTGGGATGGTGCCTCTATGAGGCCTGTCCTGGGGTATTGTTGATCTGGCTCTGTCTCCCTGTCCACTGAACTGCGCCTCTATGAGGCTGGTTGGACTCCTCCTGGGATGGTGCCTCTATGAGGCCTGTCCTGGGGTATTGTTGATCTGGCTCTGTCTCCCTGTCCACTGAACTGCGCCTCTATGAGGCTGGTTGGACTCCTCCTGGGATGGTGCCTCTATGAGGCCTGTCCAGGGGTATTGTTGGTTTGGCTCTGTCTCCCTGTCCACTAAACTGCGCCTCTATGAGGCCTTTTCTGGGGTATGTTGAATGTGATATATCTAATGTTGGGTATTTAAACTATGGCTTTGAATAATTCTCCAGTGGGGCGACCTGGGGTATCTCATGTTGGACAATATGGGCAGATATTGGGTATATGGATAGATGTTTGAACTACAGTTTTGGATATAACACTCCCTTGGGCAATAGCACTGTCAGATAGCATGGTCCCCATAGGTTGGTGATCATGTGAGTCTTAGGTGGGGTAGCCCAGAGTATCTCTCATTGGAAAGATGTTTAAACTGGGGTTTTGGATCTGACACTCCCTTGGGTGATAGCACTGTCAGATAATCATGGTCACCATAGGTTGGTGATCATGTGAATATTAGGTGGGGTAGCTTGGAGTATCTGGCATTTGGCAAGATGTTTAAACTGGGGTTTTGGATGTGGCACTCCCTTAGACCATAACAATGTCCCTGATGCCCACATTAGTGGAAGAGGTCTTCGTCAAACACAAATCACCCTTTCAACACTACTTTTCAGAGACATTCAACAGATCATAAATAATAATCATGATATTTGAACGTGTTTTCCCATCTATCAAGCGGTCAAGTCGATCCAGTCAATCAGCACGGTCACTAGCGCGTACTTGACTATAACATCTGTATTATTCGAACGCAAATATTTTGGATGCTCCGCAGATATGATCAAACTGAGTGTTGCAGGCCCCAAAGCGCATTCAGGATTTGGGGCGTGTTATCACTGATGTCACCACAGGTTGAAAATTGTCATGTGAATCTTAGGTGGCATAGCCTGGAGTCTCTGATATTGGGCAATGTGATTCACTTCATGGAGGTCTTCTTTTTAACGCTCAGCGCTCACAGAATTTGAGCGCAAAACATCATGTAGATTACAGAAGTCACGGCCTATATTTGTCTGTTGCCATATTTGTGGTTGTTTCTGTCACTACTTATGCTCAGTGAAAACCGGACAGTGCGGGAACATGCGAGAGCGTACCACATCCTGCACCGCCAGCTGAAACCGCCCTCGCACGATCTCGACAAGAAATACGGACGAATACACGATGTAAAAGGAGTCCATATCGTGCGTCGTTGTGCGAGAGTCGTTCAAGTTGTTTCTACACGATGTGGCACTCCCTTGCATTCCTTACGAACGGTTTATATCATATTGCTTCAAGTTGCTATCATTAGTATTAATAGTACAAAATACAAATACAACACATTGGAATGGTATGAATCACTCTTCGCATTCTCGTTGCCCCCGGTGCTCGACACCTCGCTCTCGCTCTCAAACTCATAAAGCTGCTCAGGGGTAGGGTTCTGGAACGGCACGAATATCTTGATACCGTAGGGTATCTGGCGCAGACCATATGCAGCGTGCATGCCAAGGGGGACAGTGAAAACTTGGTCGAGCTCCTCCAGGGTCTTGCCTTTTGTCTCGTGCACGAATAACAAGATGAGCGCCCAGAGAAGACAGCACCATGCTGCGTACCAGCTGAAGGCACCTTGTTGTTTGAAGGCCAAGACGAGCGAAGGCCAAGTGATTGAGAGAATGAAGTTCCAGAACCAGGTGGTCGCAGTAGCAAAGGACATGCCGTTATCACGGATAGAGAGGGAATGCCTCTGTGGAGTACATGAACGGCACTGGGCCTTCGCCTGGAGAATAGAAGATCGCGAAGAGGTCTGAAGGAACATATATCAATGGCAGTATCAAGTACCAAAGGGATGACGTACATATTCCGATACTAACACCAGTTACATGCCCTGTCTCCGAAGTACCCCAGAAGGAGAAGCCCGCAATTAAAAGACAGATGGCCATGCATGGAAACGTGAAAAAAGTGGGTTCCTCCGCCCGTAAGTGAGTAACTGATGCTGCAGATATCACAATGACTCACCTGTATTGTTGCCTGACCCGTAGGAGTACTAGAAAGACAGCAGCAATTGCGCATATATGCACCCAGTCCCATAGTATTCAATAATATACTGGCTTGAATATTGTTGACAGAACTTACTACGGCAAATGCTCCGAGTCAGGGTGCTGCCATTGAAGAAACTTAAGTGTTTAGGACTCGAGTGTATTACTAGCTGCCTGCGGTGTTGTTGTTGTATGGGGAAACACGACGGTAAGGGAACAAGAGACTCGGGGGTGTTGATGACATGAAGACGGACTTTAGATTTGAAAAGGTTTTGTTACTTCGCGCACTGCAGTGACGTGCATATAGATAGCAAATGTAAATATTACGGAACTCATGCAAATGCAAAGTAAGTGCGAGGGAAGCAGAATTCACGCAAGGTTTGTGCAAAGTTCATGTGTTTGCATGCGCTGCGCTCACAAGAAAATACTCATCATTTGCTATCAACCAGATCTACATGATATGGCACTATGCGTAACACTCTCGCACGCTCTCACATGTTCCCGCACTGTCCGGTTTTCACTGGGACTTATGTGCCAATTCCTGTCAGTGTTTTTGTCCCAATTATTGCTACTGTTACTGTCACTGTTACTGTCACCTTTTCTGTCACCGTTTCTGTCAACCCTGTCCCAATTCTGTTACTGACTTACTGTCACCTTTTCTGTCACCTTTTCTGTCAATCTGTCCCAATTCTGTTACTGTTTCTGTCACCATTTCTGAATGTTTCTGTCCCTACTTCTGTCTGAATTTGGCACGTGTTCCTCATGTCACTTTTCTATAGCTGACCAGGTTTACTCACGTATGTCACTGTGTTGTTTGTAATTTGCAATTTCACTTCCTGCACCCACTGCGTACTGTACTATAGCTCCATTACACGCTATCAATTAAAAATATGGTCCTGGTACGTTCAACTTTCAAGGTCGACAGGTATCCGATTGTTCTTTTTCTTGATACCTGTTGCCTCCGCATAAATTTGCTGCATTCGCTATTGCGACTATCAATTCAAGTCTGCTATTCAAGAGCAATGCCGTTGGCACTTCCCATCCCTGTTGCTTCGCTTTCAAGATCATCTCGATGTCAGTCCCGGTATGTCTGATTCAACTTGAAGATGAGGAGGCTAGCAGAATAGATAACGCACTCAATGCAGCTATGTTTGACATATACAAATTCTTCCTTCTGATCTTACAATGCGTGCATGAAAGGGGAGTAATTACATTCTTAGTTTCTTATCCTCCTCAAATGTGTCCTTCACCTGCAAAGCACTAGTACTATATCAGTCCTGCGGATGCATCGTGCGTGCAAAATTCCAGTAGATAGGTGCGCACCTGATGGCATGCTGCCCCAGGGTGACTCACCCTCCTCGACTCAGAATATTAGCTGACCTTGGTGCATCACAAGAGCAAATGGTGTGTTGACCTTGTGGTGCAGAGTCTCACACCTGTTGACATTGACAATAACAATGCTCGGGTAGGTTTCACACTCTTTGTGACTAGCCAGAGAACACAATAACCATTGATGGGCCCGCTCACAAGACAGCTGATACCATAAAAGTGGTTGGCACCCAGAGCAGGCCAGCAGCACAATCAGCCAATAATACCCTATTTTTGAACAGATGGAACAGACACTTTTCTCATCAAGTATTGGTAATTCAATACCAGATGCAGATCACATTGTAGTAAGTATTTATTAACTTGTTGATGTGTATTAATTTCTTACAAGACCAAGTGCGAGTGCAATTATATTCACAGGATCTCTATTCCAACATCTTCAGATGGCATTGACACTTTATTGGCAAAGCCCCGTATTAAAAATACCTTTTCAATAGCAAGACGGGGACTTGCAGTATTTTTTGCCGGAACTCAAGTGTGTTTATGCAAATTCAGAGGTGCTTGCGTGCGCCTTGCCAAATGTGGGAAGCAGGTATGTTTTTGTCCGACCTGGAAATTTCACAGTGGTCTTACTTTTCACAGAGACACGAGAAAAGAAGCAAATGATATGCAATCATGTGTGATGCGCTACCCACTACACAAAAATCTCGATATTTCTGATACTTTTTGTTATATAATACTATACCAAGCGTGCAATCACCATAAAAGCAGTTGTATCATTACTAGTGTCTGACACCAATTACCATATCCCCTAATATGTGTCTGAATTTAATATATAAAATGACTTTCACCTTCAAGGAGTGTTTTATTGCTATTAATTACGGTCCATTTGTGACGGATCTTTGTCTTGAGAGACAAAAACAATGAAATTAATTGGCTATACACCGCTACTTAACAAGATTTAGATATTTGGCTCAGGAATGAGGAGTTCCAGTGATATAATTGATGAAAAAGGGCTTATCGATGCTTTGAGGTGCTCAGATACTAAGCGAATAGCACGGATCTCATTACAATCTACACAAAGTTTTTCTGAAATCTATTGACTGCAATGATTTCTTGTGAAATCAAGACATTGTTCTAACCCCGTGCATTAGATGTTGACGAGAAATGGAAACTGAACACCAAGTCAAAAATCCTCCAATGAAAACTATGGTGATCGTGCATGGTATGGTTGTTATCAAAGACCGATCTGGCACTGTGAAAATACCAGCTAAAAGGCCCAGAGTAGACAATGCTACACTATTGGATAACACATATTCAGCACTATTGTGATGGATTCAAGTGAGAGTGAGAACATACCTTGTCGTTCGCAACAAACTAGGAGCGCTATAAATGATAGCAACCTTCGTAAAGTGGTATTGCAAGTTATGAGACTGTTAAAATGTTCAGGTGAGAAAATAACCGCAAGAATAATCTATTGAACTTGAGCGCACGGCAAATTGAAGAGACTTCATCTTCTGCCCAAAGTGTTGTGCCACAACGCCCGCAAAAATGCAGTGGACGCTAAGGATAAGTGAAAGAGAGCATAGTGTTCTTGTTGTTACTTGGGAACCAATATTCGGAATAGCAAGTATGCTAGCATCTACTGCCATGATAATGCCCGCCTGGGAAAGAACAAGCACACGAATATCAGAAAAGTGTACGTTGATGGTAAATCACATACCAGAGTGCTGTGCTTTATGTTATCGTCATTGAAATGGTCAAGGAATTTCTTGATATCAAGCAGATTGACAATACCGTCAACGTGAAGTTTTTCAACATGCTCCAATACCATCACTGGAACACCAAACATAGCAGCTGTCGATAGCAAAGATAAAAAACGGATATTTCGGTTTCGTTTGCTTCCCTCAATTGAATGGGTCCGCATCAGACGAGCTTCTGGAAAACCATAGTAGTTGAGAAACTGGTGATGGCCTTTCCAGCAAATTAAGACTAAATTTTCGGAGCACTGATCCTGTCACTTACGTAAAATATTCCATATCCTTCCTGTTAGTTTATGCGAGTCAGTTGGTATTTGAACGAGAGCCGCAATCAACACAAGCGCACCACAGTATGCGACGCCTTGTTCCTTCAAGGATGCATCGGAGTTGAGAAGGTTCTCTGCAATTCTGTTTAAAAAAAGGAAAAGGTTGCATAATGTCTTGCGAAGTACCAAAGCTAATAAGGCGAGCAATCACTTTCTCCGTTTGGTCGGTGCTCCGAAACAATGATGCCGCAGTCGATTGTTCCAGAATCAACCCCTCTATCATGTATTCTTTGATATCAGTCATTGCTTGATACAAGATGCGTTTCTTACCTGCCAGATACCATTCTAAGTGTGCGCGTAGCTCAGTAGCATCCGAGCGCTGCATACTATAATGTCTTGGAAAGAAATCAATGTGCTTCCTGAAAGAAATTCGTGTCAGTATCCTAGAAGTCTCTTTTCTACCTCATCAACATGTTCTCACCAAAATTGTGCCTCCAGCTCGAGCCCTGACACCACCATGGAATTATCAGCATAATTGGGACACGTTCGTTGGGGAATAGAACTTGCTCTTGTGGTTCCACTCTCTCGCAAAGGCACATTCCTGGAATAGAAGGTCGGCGTTAAAATCCTCAAACCAAGCAATGATGCGGGCATCCGGGACCACGCAATAGTATTCGTAGTAGTCTCTGTATTCTCTTGTAACAGGCTTTACGACCATATACCATGTTTCTTCTTGCAATCTCCTGCGGGCTGCCCTTATCCAGTTCTGAAGATTGTTCAATTGATTAGGCGTGTATTTTTTCACATCGCTTCCTGTATATGTTTTCTGTCTGATTGTGAGATGTGCGACAGACAAGAATTACCGATGAATATTTACTTACCATTGAGACGTCGAAATAATACAATACTCCTGAAGGATGGACGATTCCTTCCCAAACACCGTAGCTGTGTTTCCTTCGGGAATGACGTATTCAGTTTGGTTCAGTAGGAAAAGGACTAACTCAACCCACCTGAAGCCATCAACCTGTTTGCACTTTATCGAGTAGTCAGGGCCAAGCGCAGAATCACTAGTATCATGAATAAATAAAATTAGAGATGTCCATGGCAGGCCCAGGTGCTCCAAGTCAGGCTGGCACTGTGACTGTGCTGCAGCGGACTGGCACTACGTCGTCGTAACTGACCTAGTACTAGTACTAGTAGTCACACTGACCGGGAAGTCGCGCTGATTCAAGTCAAAGGACTTACTGCATCACAGCTTTTGAATACATTTGCAACCTTGATGGCCATGAGGGTATGCCTAGTTTCAATAAGTCAGCATCTGTAGGAGTACTATGAGTCTGGCTCAGAGTCGTTGCCATTTGATTGATGTTCAACTAGGGCGTATTGACATGACTAGTCGTGGTAACCTGACTTATACCAGTAATATACATACCTATCCCTTTGTGTAGTATACACACCTATCCCTTTGTGTAGTATAAAGGCGGAGACCGTGACGAGTCACGAGTAGTTAGTCACCGGTCAAAAACGTATTCAAGGTTGTGAACAAGAATTGCCCTCAATGTATCGACTCTATCTTACTGTTGTCACGGGCGTGCCCCTGTAAGCGTCACCCCATCTGACTAGGAAAATGCTATGCCCCCATAATGTTTGAACTCATATAGATAGTGCTCGTCCTTGATGAGCTTTCTAGGCTTTTTCTTTGATTCTACAGGCGTGTCTGCCCCATCGCTGTCCTCCTGCGCTTCTACAGGGACCTCAAAGGCTGCGACAGGTTCCTCTTCTTTGGCTTCTGTAGTGAAATTCTGCGCAATGCGGTCCTGCGCACAGAGATCCTTGACAGTACCCTTAGTATCGATGCGACCATCCGGTATGCGGACGAGGTAATAAGTGCCAGGGAGCATGAGCTCCACGTGGTGAGTGACTAAGATCTGTGAACAGATTTAACACCGCGTTGTATCATCGTAAATGACAGACATACCACCGTACGGTTTGCCATAAACGGTCCGCGGAAGAGTCTATCGTACAAGAACCACGCAGTGTAACTGTCCTATTCGCAACATAGAGTAGCATGAGAGTAGCATATGAACGGATAGATAGTAACACTCACCGCAGCACTTAATGGATCATCCAACAGGACATACTTCGTGCGAGCATACACGGTGCGAGAAATGAATACTAGTGTACTATACTACAGATCATGGAGGATACCCTCTACCTTCTTTGGTTCACCAATTAGATCCCATCTGCTGTGGTACTGCGAAGATCTATGGCTGTCAAGACCATCGTCACCATCCCCCAGGTGATTCTTTCAGCACTGTAAGTAGATCTTCCATTCTCTCTTCCAAGAATGCAATCTTCTCTGCTGCAATTAACGCGTCTCTATGCGCTGCATCTTGCATTTCAAGCAGTGCTGCTTCTTTCTCTATTAGCAGCGCTTGCGTGCGTGCTAACATTTGTGTTGCTATTTTCTCTATATACATTACTTATAACGAGTGAATATAAGAATTCATAACACGCACTAGCCTCTTGTTCTTCCGCGACCAATGCTTTCCTTTTCGCTTTCTTCTCTTTTCGTATTTTCTTGTGAACATCGGACCCCGAAGACCCTTTGAAACGATCATATCAGCAGTCGACGGAATGAAATATGCCTACATGACATACCAGTGTCCTGTTGTCTTACAACAAAAATTGCATCCCGGTCTGCTCTCTGCTTATTCCGTTTTCGTGTGCCCATCTGGTACTTAGCAAACACTATCGAGGACGTTAGATAGAATGAAATGTGCTGGTGGGGTGGGACGTACAGATGGCCCTTTGTTCTGCCAGACGCAATTTACGTTGCTTCTCTCTCCTCTCTTCTCGTTTTCTCCTACGAATCTGGGACTTGGAAAGCTTGATGGGTTCCTGGGAAGTGTCTCGCATGGCAATGTTTTCTGAAGTGTCGAGAAGTACATTGCATGACATATCTGAAAAAGATGAATTTCGTTCCAAGGATGACAAAGAATTGGAGCATACCTGCTTGTTCCATGGTATTAGATCGACCGGGTGGAATATTTGCGGTCCCGGGGATGACTAGTCTGATGTGCAGAGTAGTAGTCAAAAGTTGACACGCTATCAATCTCTTTCTGGGTTTAGGGGGGTGTAAACCGTCCCCATCCCTGCTCCTTCCTTATATGGGGCGTCCCTGCTTCTTTTTTTCCCATCTGCCGCTTTTTTGGTCGGAAATGGTAATCCCTTACCTCACACCTTCCGTTTTTCATTTAAGCTGTATGTAACCGTCCCTGCGTCCCTGCTTCCTTTTATTCCCACGGGGCGCAACCATCCCTGCGTCCCTGCTCTCAAAAGGCAACCGTCCCTGCGTCCCTGTTCTTAAAAGGCAAGCGTCCCTGCTCTCAAAAGGAAACCATTCCTCGTGTCAAATGCAAGGTAACCATCATTTCAGTTCATATCAATACTGACCAGCAGTGGGATGCTCCAATTCCAAAGACGTCACTGCTGGTATTTGCTGAGCCTTCCCTGTCTCCAGCTGGCTTCAGGTAGTATCTCTGAATAATGATTTAAACCGTCTCATACATACACACTTGTAGACTACCGACTACATATCTAAGAAAGTGGCAAAACGCAAAATATAAAGTGTGAAGCTGAAAGGAGGTGTCAGAGCTCAAAAGAAAGCCCAAGTGCGAAAATAAAACAAGAAATGAGACCTAGAGAGATGTGAAATGTGAGGATGACATGAGGAATGACGTCAAAAGACAATAAAACAGGAAAATAAAAGCAGGAATGAGAGCAAGAAAGAGCAACAGATGCGAAAATGCGAAATATAAAGTGTAAAACTGAAAGGAGGGACGAGAGTCACTTAGAAAGGCCAACATGCGAAAATAAAACAAGAAATGAGACCTAGAGAGAGGTACGATGTGAAAATGACAGGAGGAATGATATCAAAAGGAAATACAACAGGAAAATAAAAGAAGGAATGAGAGCTAGAGAGATGGGATAAACTGTAAAAATGACAAGGAGGAATGAGACAACATGAAAGACAAAATGCGTAAATAGAAGGAGGAATAGAGCAAGAAAGAGGCGTTGGTTTTCTTTTCTTATTGTTCGTGTCGGTTTCGGTAGTACATGTCCTTGTTGATCTGCTTGTCTCGTTTTTGATGTCATTTTTGGTAGTACATGTCTTTGTCGGTCAGCTTGTTTCATTTTCTTTGTGTATTTTGGCAGTACGTGTTGATTTTCATTCACCAGTGTCGTTTATGTTGTCATTTTTGGTAGTGCATGTCCTTGCTGGTCTGCCAGCCTCATTTTTTGGTGCATTTCGTGTGGTGCCACTCCCTCTAGCCTGTAATGGCAGAGTATTTTTGAGCTGTAATGCCTGGGAGAAGGGGCTACTGAGTTGCGCTTCTGCTGTGTTTTGGTTCTGGAGGATATACTACGTAGTGCTCATCCTATCTATATGTTTCTATGACTGGAGGGATGAGAGGAAGAGAGTGGTAAAAATGTGACACTGAAAAAAGCAGTGAAAGCTGGAGAGAAAAGGCAAAAATGCGACAATGACAGGATGAATGTAAGTGAGAGGAAGACAAAAATGTAGAGATAGCAGGAGGAGGAACGATAATGTAATAGTACTTGCAGCCATGTCGTTCATTTTTTTCACGAGTCCCCTCAGTTTTACTACACTCCAAGCTCATGGTAGATGCAGTACAGGCTGTGGAGGTGACTTCCGCTGGCATTGATGACGTTGCTGTCGATGCCTCGCATGGTTTGCGCCAACTACTTTTGCATCACGGAAAGCAATTTCTTATTCAATGCTAAGTACACTAGCTCGGTCTGCACGTACTACAAAAACTCATCTGGCATCCATACCAGCGCCGGGTCGGTTATTCCTCAAATCCGGAGTCCACTCGCATTTCAGACATCTCCTAGATAACATGGATCTCATACCTCCAATTTGATCAAGCTCAGTCAAAACTCAAGTTGGACATCCACATATTACAAAAACTCGTCTGGCATCCATACCAGCGCCAGGTCGGTTATTCCTCAAATCCGGAGTCCACTCGCATTTCAGACATCTCCTAGACGACATGGATCTCGTACCTCCAATTTGATATGTCCATTTCCAATAGTTTTTTTTACCTTGCTGATTTTTTACTTTTCTCGAGCAATAAGAAGACATGAGGATTCAGATGAGTTTGCGTAGTGGTATCTGCATGTGATCCCGTGTTTTGAACGAGTCAGGGTGCTTGTTATTGAATGAGAAACTACTTTCCTTGAACAAAGAAAGTGGCCTGAAAATAAGCAAGGTAAGAAACTACTGGAAATGGACAAATCAAATTGGAGGTACAAGATCCATGGTATCTAGGAGATTCCTGAAATGCGAGTAGACTCCGGATTTGAGGAATAACCGACTTGACGCTGGTATGGATGCCAGATGAGTTTTTGTGATACGTGGATGTCCATCTTGAGTTTTGACTGAGCTTGAACTCATGACTATCCCCCCAGTATATAAAGGTCGTCGTATTCGATGGCGACCTCCTCAGTTTCATCACTTGAAGCAACTCCCAACCCTCAAGCTACATAACACATCTTATCATCATGGTTTCCAGCAGCACTCGCGCCATCTTTAACGTGGAGTATTCCAACCAGGTCGTGGACTTGAAAGAGGGCGGACAAGCCGACGGCACTCCTGTCGTGGGCTATGTCTTCAACAGGGCGGGAACGAACCTCCATCAGCGTGTCAGTGTTCATTCCTTGGTTCAGATCATCCAGGCTAACGATCGGGGCAGTGGTACGTTGAAGTCCTCAAGACGGACGCGGAAGGCAACGTCACAGTTCATTTGACCAACAACGGAAATGGAAACTACCTGAGGGTTGAGACAGCGCTTCTTGTAAGAGATGATATTCGCTCCTGCGATGTACTGCTGCGACGCGTCTTTGAATTTACAGAACCAAGGTCTCGAAGGCAGTCACTTCTCCATGAAGTGGCTGTTGGTCAAACAAGGCGACTCTGGGAAGTACTTGTGAGTGATGCGGCTGAGAACTGTGGACCATCGTTCTACAGGTCACTTACCTATGCACAGCATCAAAGTCCCGGACACAAATTTCGCATGCGTCCTTCCGGACAACCACAATTACACCCAGGTACGGTTCCAAGCTCGTTATGCGACGGACAGAATAACTCATGATTTGTATTTGGTAGATCAAGCTTGCTGTCTTGGACGAGAGTGACCCAAAGCAGATGTGGATGTTCCAGGAGGTCTAAGTGAAGTTTTGGCCTGGATTCGCCCAAAGAGGTTTACAACAGTCCAGTATCTCCTTTCTTTTTGCTCGTCATCGTCGTAGTCGTCGTTACATGCGTGTTAAGTTTGCCTGTTTATAAATCGCCAGTCCTTGTCTGCCATGCTGCCCATTCTATCAGAACTATAGTGCGACGTGATTCTGTGCGAGAAATTTGAGCTGTTGGCACATAGCAATGGATGTCTGAGAACCTAGATTACCACGAGGAGTTCACAACACCAGATTTCTTCACAGATACAGTAGCTTTCGACAGAGATCCAAAGTGGCGGCAGAGCTCACAGAACTAGGGCTGGCCACCGTAACCGTATACGGTTACGGCCGTACAATTTACGGCGGGCTTACGGGTACTACCCGTACCGTACCGTATGTCGTACAATACATTCAAAATGTTCAACGGTACGGTACGGGTCATCATACGGTCATATGACCGGCTGTACGGTCGTACGGGAGATGAAAAAACGTTGAATTAGTAAATTACAGTAGTACTAACTTGCTCACCTGATTTCGATGCTTACTTATATTTGCAGATGAGTCCAGCGAGGATGATGAGGAGTACGCTGACGCTGATGAGGAAGCTGAAGACGATATGGGGACAGGCACTGCCGCACAAACCTGGACACATATCCATCAGATGATGACGAAGAACCTACTCCAGCTCCTCCGTCACGACCAGTCAAGACTGTGCACGCTCCGCTGAAACAAGGCACATCGGCCCGTCATGTGACTGGTGTCTGTCTCATCCCCAGCTGTGGAAAACCGTCTTTCGTTGAGTAAGTGGTCACTGGAGATCGATTGCTACGAGAGACTAGATGTTCTTCAGAGAGGCAGTGACCCAAGTCGGACTGGTTCCTGGATGCATCATGTGCCAACGCTACCCACGGCCATAACGCTGCGCAGGAACGGGTGCGCGTAAGTCTCATGCTGAGTCTGATCATCAACATTTGAAGATTCTAATGTGGGGAAGTGTTCCTGCTCACTGGTGGAATAAGCAGAAAAGCAAACAAACGCAAGAAAACACAAACTAGTTGATGAAGTGCTCGGCAGTGGCTTGTACTCCGCCATTTTGTAGGCCTAAAATTGTCTCGTATGCGGATTCCCCGGTTAGGAAAGGATCTGCACTGAAACCCTATATATTAATATGTTGTACTACGATAACACAATTTGCGTCACCTTTTTGAACATCACTCCACCGGCTCATCCCTCTCCAAAGTACTAGTATTGTTTCATGTAGTGTACCACCAATGATATACAACTAGTATACCACATCTTCAATGAATGTCGATAACTATCATGATAGTACACAACGTTCACATTCAAATTTGAGCCAGTGGGACAAGGTTCCTGCCGGCGAAGCTCGGCCCTTTCTAGTCTTTGCTATCGCTGTCATTATCTTGTAAGCTGTGTTATGTCAGTATTCAGATACGCAAAAATGCGAAAATTGTGCTATGTTCAAATGGGGCTTTATTTGGCCCTGTTGATATCAGCAAAAATGCGAAATTGAACCTGATCTTTTCTGTGTCTATCATCTGCTCTGTTACTACTGTCACATACAAAGCTCTTATATTCTATGGTTGTTATGCTATATATGATTCAATGATAAGCTGTGGTGTGTTACCATTGATATAGACAAAAATGCGAAAATTGTAATAATGTGTGGCTTTGTTTGGCACTGCTGACATAAGCAAAAAATGCGAACTTGAACCAAATCTTTTCTATGTTTGTTCTCTTCTTTTA